CTAAATATGTCCAGATTACTGCTGAGAAAGTAAAGATAATTAAAGAAAAGTTAAAGATAGCACAAGATAGACAGAAGAAATATGCAGATAGACGCAGAAGAAACCTTGAATTTGATGTTGGGAATAGAGTTTTCCTACGATTGTCGCCATAGAAAAGTGTTATCAAATTTGGTAAACGAGGTAAATTGAGTTCGAGGTATATTGGCCCTTACGAGATTGTTGAACGCATCGATCCAGTTGCGTATCAATTGGCTTTGCCAACAGAATTCTCCAAAATTCATGATGTATTCCATGTTTCCATGCTTCGTAAGTATATTCCAGATCCATCTCATGTTTTGAAATCACAACCAATAGAGCTGAAATAAAATCTTACATATAAAGAAGAACTAGTTCAAATATTGAATAGAAAGGAACATGTCTTGCATAGTAAGACTATTCCCTTGGTTAAAGTTTTGTGGAGGAATCATGTCGTAGAAGAAGCAACATGGGAAAGTGAAGAACATATGCATTCTCAGTACCCACGACTTTTTCATACTTGATCAATCAAATTTCGAGGACGAAATTCTTTTAAGGGAGTGAGTTTTGTAATACATTAATTTAAAAAAAAAAAGGGGGGGGGATAACATGAGGCAATGGAATCCAATTCCACCCAAAATCAATTTAAAAACAAGAACACACACTACACACACAAAGAAAACGAACCAGAGAGAAAAGAGAAAGGAAAAAAAAAAAGGAAAAAGAGGAAAAGAAAGAAGAAAAAAAGGAAAATTCGCCAACGTATTAGGAATTAAGTGGGTTATACTATTAGGCTTGAATTTCTCAATTTTGAAAGGTAAGTAAAAAGTTACTTATTGAAATGTTATGTTTAATTTTATAGTTTTAGATTAAATTCAATTTTATTGAAAGGGTTAAGTATAATAAACTAAGAAATTGAGTAAAATGAAAGAAAAATTAGTTTTAGTAATTAAAAAGACTTTAGAAATCGCCTAAACGTGAAATAATTAAGTTTGGATATCACCTATTTAATTAATGAAATTTCTTCAAATAGTTAATTATTGATTTAAAAATTATATCATATTTCAGGCGACGATACGGATATCATGATAACTTACCAACCGAGTTGATTTTGGTGTACATAGTTCTGTGAGTGAAAAAATATAAATATTTTTAAAGTATTTATAAATTAAGAATATTGTCAAAATATGTGCAATTATATGCAATTATGTGCTCGAATTCTATGATTATTATGGAAATATCTTTTATTATGATACATGTGGAATTTCAAAGATTATATACGGTAAATTGTACATTGGAATATGAGATATGATTTTGAGGCTGATCAGAAAAGTATTCGTGGTTATATATTTCTTCTTGTTCATTGAGGGGCCTTGACCGTGTTCTATACTACACTGATGGGTTTTGGATCGAGGATGAAGGGATCTCGACCGTGTACATATAGTTCACTGAGGGGCATTGGCCGTGCTCTAGAATTGATTATGAAAAATCTTTGAGATCGACTTTCATTCACGAAGGGGGCCAAAGGCCTGTGGCGAAAGTTCTTAGCACGAGAGGCTGATTACATATTTCAGTCAGAGGTTACTTTTTTGTAGATTTTTCTGCACGTTTGATGTAATGAGATTATAGCATGGTTATCAACCGATATTCAAATCATGATTTTAAGATGATACTTTATGACTTTATGTGAATATTTTACTTTTTGGCTATAATTACATGATGGTAGCTCGTGAATTATCAAATTATATGAATTTGATTTTCAATAAAAATGTATAAATGAAAAAGTATATTTATTTTGAACTTCTCCACTCACTATGCTATCAACTCATATATTTTCCTACATTTTTCCTTATCAGGCAGCAGTTGAGTATCTAAGTATCTTTTGGAGTTGAAGTCAGAGCCACACTACGGAGTTCATTACTATGACTCACTTCATAGAGCATGTAGTCAGTATTTTGAGACACATGTTCATATCTATATGTGATTTTACATCACTTGCAAATAGTTAGGAGGCTCACTATGTATTTTATATCTACATGTATATTTCACATTATTTCTTGGTAAAAATTGAGATTTCAACTTATCTCTATTGTGTTGTGTTATAGTTTGGAATTTGTGTGTAATTGATCACAGGTTGGTTAGTCCTATTTATAGGATAATGTATAAAAAGTGACATATTGTACTTGTAGCAGCTTTGATGGTGAGTCCGACTTTTAGTTGGTATCCATCATCGGCGCATGCCACGTCCGAGTTTAGTAGTATTACATGAGGCAGGGTGTGTCAGATGAAGCATTTGATTAGAGCTATATCAAGGGATGGAAAATCTCTTGTATCTCAAGGTGGTCGACGGAGAGGCAGATCGAAAGTCAAGTTTAGCAATGTGTATTGTTACTATGCAAACGAAAGGGACATATTCAGAAGGATTGCGATACGTTGCAGGCTAGAGGTGACTTAGCTGCAAATCGTGGAGAGCAACCTTTGGCTTCAGATGAAACCAATGTAGTTGAGGATTTTTCAGATGTCGGAGATATGATGTTAACCATGGTATCTGATGTGGAATTTAGGCCTCACGAGGAGTGGATTTTTGATTCGGCATGTTCGCACCATATTTGTTCTGATTTATTTTTGATTCGGCATGTTCGCACCATATTTGTTCTGATAGAAATTTATTTTAGACAAATGAGACTATTAGCAAGGTGGAGTTGTAATGGGAAACAACTAGTCTTATCGTATTGCTGGAATCAGTCAAGTCAGATTGCGGTTGTAGGAGGGACGATCAAAACACTTGACCAGGCTGACACGTTCCAAATCTGAAGAGGAATCTCATCTCGCTGAGTGCCCTGGATGTAAAAGGGTATAACTTCCCTAGAGGAGGTGGAGTTTTGAAGGTCCGTAAGGGAGTCCGAGTTGTACTGGAGGGACGAAAAAGATCCAAGTTGTACATTTTACAGGAGCGTGCAGAACCAATTAAGAGGAGACATTTGAGCAAGTTTATACCTTAGTGGAAGTTCGGTTTGTTACGGTACCTCTTGTGTTGGGCTTTAAGTCAGTTCAGAACACTGTTAGGGAAAGCGTTGGTGATTCCGCTTTGCCATCAATTTCAGTGGGTATACTGTGTTCAGTTGCTGGGGTTGGACTCATCGAGCATAGGTACCCTGGAGTCAGTAATGTTTGGGATGCTTTTGGGGATTTGAAGTCGACTGTTCAAGCAAGGGTCCTTCTGATCAAATCGGTTTGGTTCTTGCTACAGGGTGTGCTTCGACCCTGTGCGATCAACATTAATTTCGAAGAGGAATTTTGGGAACTGTAGGATTTGGTTTGGGTGTCGCTTGTGGACGTTGGGCAGTGACATTTTTTTTGGTTTATATGAAGTGTTTGATTACTGCGTTGAGGAGATTGACCAGTTCATTTCGATGCAGAAGAATTTGAAATCTAGAAGTTTCGTTTGGTTGCACTGGAATTCTTGTCAAGATGGATATTGTTAGAATTTTGAGGTGACCCGAATTCTTTTGTTGAAATAATTATAGAATTCTAACTGAAGTGCACATCAAGATAAATTCTAGTTGAAATACTTTGAGGAATCCTATTCAAGTTTAATTGTCAAATTCTATTTAAAGTTCTATTTTGAAGCCCATTAGGAGTTGAAATTTGAGTTAGACTTGAAGAGTTAAAATGATGAAACTTTTAGGCATTTTATTTCATCTACAACTCTATTTCTAGTGATGAATTTTTTTCTATAAATATGAGGCTCCTCTGTCAGTTTTGTGAGAAGTAATTTTGCTAAATTGTGCTTATTTTCTCCATATTGTTCAGTAATAAATATCGTTCATCTGCGATTAACTCTTTTTGTTCTCCTTCATTTTAAATCTTGTTTTCGTGGTGTGATCTTATTTTACTTCAATATTGTCATTAAATCTCATTCTTTACAATCTGATTTGGGATCAACAAGTGATAGCAGAGCTTCCGCACCCAACAAACGCACATACTTTCCTCCAAATTTTATATGTGTAGAGAATAAAATCAATTCTTAGTCTCATTTCGCCAGCGTTAAATGATCTCTTGTACAAGAGATCATTGAAGTAAAAAGGGGGAAATATTTGTGATTGTTCCTAACGGCTAGTTTTGATTTGGTCTTCGTCAAAACCGCCCTGCTGTACTAATCTCTTAATTGATTACTTATCTTAAATTAATTATAGACAATGCCTTGTCAACAATTTAAACTTTTACGTTTAAGTGTTTGAAATGGTATGAGAGCATTTAAAATAAAAAATTAAAAAACTAACTACTCTCAATTAAATTTGTTGCCATTTATTTGTAAAAATTGCATGTGTCTCAAGCATTTTTAGAAAAATGAATATCAACATATATGTGATGTGGCGTGCACAAACAAAATTAAATAAATATATTTATTCGATCTCTAACGTATTAAATTTTTTAATATATGGTTAAATAAACGCGCTCTTCTCCTTGTTTTTGAATATGTCTTAAGTTGTTTTAATTAAGATACGCGGTCTAATTAATAATGTGGCCGGTCTATTATTAAATACATGGACTATGTTGTCATCGAAGGGATTTAAAAAACACCATGTGTCTGTTAGCCAGTTTCCTTGTATTAATGGTTAATGAAAGGCGGCACGAGTTAATTAAATTAACAATGTAAATTCTGGTTATTGATTAAAAGACTTGTACATTCATTTTCTTAATTAAAAATTTCAGTTTAATATTGGAAAATATATATATATATATATATATCCTGTATTTTTTTTAAATGGGTGCTCCTCCAATGGTATATAGTTTTAGCCGTTGTTTGATTTCCATTAAATTACATTACATTACATTTTATTTTTCTCTCTCCTATTTTCAACCACACAATCTTTCATAAAATAATATTACACGTAAATCGAAAATCATTCATTCTTTTTCAACCACTCATTTTTTCAACAAAACACTATTCCCCCCATTTTCATTACAAAAAATGGGGGCCAAACAGGGGTTTAATCACAAAGAACGAACCATCCCTGGCATCAAGACCAAGAACCACCATTTTCTTCTTGGCAAACATCACTATATAAATTATTTTTTGATCATATTCTAAATTAAAATTACAACAAAACAAAAAATTAGGTTGTATACAATTTCCAAACAAATAATAAATGAAAGTTCAAATAATTTCCCACATCTTCATCATTCTACACGTGCTAATAAGCTATATTGGATGATCGGTCGAGTATCAACACCTTGGCATGTCGGGAGGAGGAGGCAATATTTTAGCATCTCGACTCTTGCCATTTTTGACAGTGAAAGCCATTCCCATTCCCCAACTTACATGACGCTCAAAATGGCAATGCATCATCCAAACTCCTGCAATAATTAAATTTACATCCCTAAATTTTCATTGAAATCTTGATGATGAACAATACTAAGTAGAATAATATGCCATGTACCTGGATTATTCGCTTTGAATCTGATTGCTGTCCATCCATTTCTTGGAACTGCAATTGTTTCCATTAGAGGAGGGTCAATGAGATTATAGTTCAAAGGGTCTTTGTCTTTGTCGAAGTTTCCAAATCCCCATCCAACCACATAAAAGCTATATCCATGTAAGTGCATAGGATGATCTATTCCTGCTACTGTGTTCGTTCCTTGGAACACAAGCTCTACTGTGGAATTGTAATCAAGAACTACTACATCTGTCCCATTTTCAGGCCTCCACAGGTCCCTAGGAATGACATCTGCAGTATAATTGAAAGTCAATGGTGGATCATTGGGAAAGTCATCTCCATAAACTCCTCTGATGCCCCTGTAATAAGCTTGAAGAATGTCGACTCTAGGCAGCTGAAAGGTTATGTTATTCACACTTGCTGAAAAACGTTCATTAAAAGGTCCCTCGCATGAATTATTGGGGCAAGGGTTTAAATTGATGGAAAGGGTAAAGAATAATTTGTTGGTCACATTTAAAGGAACATCAACAGGATATTTTTCATTTGCTAAACTTCTGAGTTGCCCTGTGAAATTAGCCGAAGCATTTGTATCGTTGAAATTGGGAAGATTTGGAAGCAATGGAGATGCTGGTGTAGTATAATTTCCCCTATACGCGATAATAGCGGTTGTAGTTGTGTTATCAAAATTCCCCGCGCTAGCATAAACCCTGGAAGCCATATAATAGTGGCTAGGGTTTTGGTTAGCTTCCAACAAGAAATCAATGGTTTGTCCAGGTGAAATGGCAATGAGATTACTCTTTAACGGTTTCGTGTAGCTGCCATCTGATCCTACTACAGTAATAGTGTGGTTTGCAATGGAAAAGAACATAATGTTGTTCATGACTGCATTAACCATTCGGAGTAGATAAGTCTTGCCAAAATCCACAGTCAACTTGAATGTATCTGCAAATTTTGTATTACAGATTAGCTAGAATGTATCACCATTTTTTTCACGAAGTTATCTAATTGATTCATGACAACGTTAATTCAGCTACGAACCTGATCTGGAGCATAAATATAGATCTCCGGGTTGACCGTTTATGAGGAAAGCATCCGAGACATTTGGATCCGCTCCGCTTGCAATGAATTCATTCATAACCTCTTCCACATCACTGTTCCACCACTCGTCTGGATTGCGGAAATTTAAACAATGTCTCCTTTTTAAATTTTTTCCATTAATATTTATACAAAAGCAAAAAAATTGGACATCATGTATAAATATGTACCTAGTATGATGGGAACTTCAGCATGAGGCTTGGGGAAAGGATAGTCATTTTTCTTCTTGGGATAAATAATGATTGCACCATGCACGGTAGCACGCGACCATTCACTATGAGCATGCCACCACAATGTTCCTTCCTCGTCTGAGAGCACAATCTTTTGGCTAAACTTTGTTCCAGGTCGAATGGGGCATTGAGTGACATACTCGGGACCATCAGACCATGGATATCTTGGCATTTTCACTCCATGCCTGCAAAAGGCAGAATAAATTCCAGTCTGTATTAATTTATCACACATGTATACTAATTATATAAAAATGTTTATACCAGTGAATGGTGATGTTTTCGTTTGCTCGGTTGTGAACATCAACAATTACTGTTTCTCCCTTAGTAGCGTATATAGTTGGCCCTGGAAATTGTCCATTTATTGTCAAGATGGTCTTGTTGGTGCAAAGCCTTGCGTATGGAGCATCTCTCAACTGCAAAAACAAAGATTATTAACTTCAATAAATGATCTTAAATTTTATGCTTCCAAAAACACTTAAAATTAGGCATATATTATACTCACCACAAACTTATAGCGACGTTGCTGAGCATTGGTAGGCAGTACGCCACCTAGAAGAAGAAACCCTATGAAATGTAAGACGAAAACTTTCATAATCAACCACATAATTGCTTGATTGCTTTCTATATTCAAATTTTCTTATGCCTTGTGTTCTTGTTTGGATTAGGACAAGAGTTTGATGTATTTATAGGGTTGGAAGTATAGAAAGATGATAAAGCTGTTCGTTGTTCCATAGGTTCATGAAATGATTAGAATAATTAAGACTGTCAGATTTGGCTTACATATTCCAATACCATGTTTTTGACCATTCAAATGTAAAGAGATTTTGTCAAAATCTTCATTTAAAATTTTATAATTTTTATACTTCCTTTCCTTTGGTTGGATTAGGTAGTTTACGCTATGAATTCTATGTTTCCCACAAGGAAAGAGTCTTGTGGACCGCGTTCATTGAAAAGAATTATTCTCAACTACTATAACTTAGCTTTATCTTTAATATTTACATTATACTCGAAATAATTAATTGTCCAAAAGATAAAAGTTGTCTCAAAATTAAGTAAGGGGAACCGTGTCTTAGGCTGCTAGTTAGGGACAGCTATGATTTCAATAATTAAATTAGCATAAGATATGAAACTTTGAGTAGTGAAAGATGATCTTGCTATTTTCAATAAGACGGCTCTTGGCCTTCATTTTAACTCTTGTTATTCTCAATCGACAGCTATTGGCCTTAATTTTAACTACCAATCCCTTGTGATCGTGCGTATCTTCTTAATTCTAAATATCATCATAGTCATCTGTATGAATCCATGATAACTAATTAACAATTATAAGAAATTAATACCTACTAAGCTTGCATACTTGGTCCTCAGTCTGTGGTCCCGACAATAAAAATGGAAGATCGTCAAGCTTTCATAGTATTCCAATTGTAGTTTAAAGTTTCGATGAATGAAAACCGTCCATTAAACTAGTGTAAAGTTTTTTAATTTTTTAAAAGATGATTGTACCCTTAATATTAGAGAAAATTAAATATATAATAAAAAGAAGAAGACGAAGACGAAGAAGAAGAAAAACAGTGACAAGGCGAAAACCTAATTGTCCTAATCTCATGCCCTCCCCTAACTTTCGTCTCTCAGTGTCAGTGTCGATCCAGTAGAGTGCTTTCACCGCTGGTGTTCTTTCCGATTTCTACGCATTTCACCGCTCCATCGGAAATTCTCTAGGTTGGGTTTTACAGGTTGCTATCCGAATCGAGATGGCACACAGGAAGGTACAAGTGTTCTATTAAGTGAGAAAATATGGACCTAAAGACGGGGTGAGGAAAAATATCCGGATATGGGGAAGGCATAAAAAATATGATCAACTCTATTTTTAATTGCTAGATTCGAGCCTAAGGACAAGACGTGAGCCTAGTCACCTAAAAATAGAGAAAAGCGTCTGTGGAACCACCGAATGGAGAGTCAACACCTCATCAGGTGGTCCACCCACACCCAATGAGATGAGGCCACCTCGGGACTCAACCATATAAGATGGTAAGACTGCCCCCACCAAAGTTTTTCTCCTAAATGGGAATCTAATAACGAAAATGCGGACCTCAACACCGAAATGTATACACCTTTTTATTTTTATTTTTATGTTCAACATTCACAGAACACTTCAGAAATTGAATCATTTTAAATAGTTCAAAGGAATTCTAACTAAAACTCGGTTTTGAATTCAGAATGTCTCGATTTGAATTTGGATTGATATAGAAAACCTTATTTGTATTTATCCAAAAACTAGGTTCATTCCATTTTATTAAGGTCGTAGTATACCTGCCAAACATGCTTTCACAATTGTCAAACATTACTTCAAATAATCACGGCAGAAATTGGCCATCTAATCGAGTAGTTTAAAAATTGGTGATCCAATAAAATAATTGTAATAGATTAGGAACCTGCTGCAATTTTCCCTGATTATCAATAACTATTCTTTATATAGAAACTATTATGGATATGTAAATTTTATTGAAAAGAAATTAGAAATGTATTTCTGCTCACCATAAATAGTTTACTGTCTATATATACAGAGTTAAATGTAATTCTACTATTTTGGAAAAGTTTTGGGCAACGTTCATCCCCGAAAGCTATGAGATTATGAGAATTAGTGCGACATTATAAAAAGTGATGTATAAATTCAAAGGACTAGGTTGATATAATGTTGGTTATTGGATTTAATCATCATAGGTAGATATGTACAAAGAGCATATTTGTAATACTCAGTTACGATTTCATAATTGCACAATTTTTTATGGGCTATATTATTTTAAGTCAATTAGATTACACATCTTTATTAAAGCCAAGAGAGGGATCTAACCGGGCTCATAAGATCTGACCTCCAATGGATGTTTCTATTTTGATCAACTCTTGACCAATTAAGATACATCTACTAATTCGGCTTATTCTACCAAAAAAGTTGAGATTGCATTATGGAGTTGAGTGAAAATTATCGAAGCAAATTATGACCCGATAACAATATCCTCTAATCATCATTCTACAAGTCAACCTCCGTTTGACCATCAATATGTTGAAATAGACAAAATGACCGTTTTGCCTTTTTAGCATGTGTTGCCCTCCAAGTCCCATCTTCATAAGGCTAATCCGTTGTGAACTAATCACAACACAGAGTCCAATGATCCCATATTGGACTACTGAGCTTAGGTTTAAATGCCTATACAAAATGCCTCGAAGTGACGATCTTCTCATCGTGATGATTAACGGATTCCATTATTGCAAGTATATGATCTTTAACTATTTCGCTCCGATTTTCAAAGTATAGAGATCAATCTTTTAATGAAGATTGCACTCATTGGTACCTCAAATAAATTAAACTAGCAATCAAAAGGACATTATTTGCTCAGGGTTTAGGTGACTGGTTTGATAACTAAGTAGAGTCCCATTTCGAGCGGCCACAAATGAGTCGTCTACACAGTCCCGTTCAATGTGTATCAAAACACGTTATTGTTCTTATTCTAGAATATAGACACATCTCAATAAGAATAATGCAATCTTATCAACATAAAGCTTCCAATTTATTATCGGACTACCCAACTAAGGTTCAAATGCCTATAGAAAATCCCTCGAACTGACAATCTTCTCATCATGATGATTAACGGATTTCATTATTGCAAGTTTAGGATTTCCAAACGGGGGCTAGTGTTCTTATTAGTTACACCACACATTTTAGTTGTCTCTCAACTTTTTTTAATCAAACGCATATCTTAAACTTTCAGTGATTAGTAAATATCTTATGTCAAAATATTTTATTTATGTGCTTTTGAAATGAAAGTAAAATGTGATTAATGTTGAAAATAATAATGCATCGGAAAAATTTTCCTGAAAATGTTTTTTTTGGATTTTAGCCTGTTGTTTGCGTCCGTATGTGACCCCAGCTGCTCGATTAAAGCTGAAAATGGGTCAGTAGCAGTGCACGTGGTTGATGGTCCAATTGCTGACCATCTTTGGTGGGTAATTCCAAAGAGGTGCGACATTTCTAGTACAGATTTTGTGCCAAGGACTTTGGACTCGTGCATAAAATGTGAAGCAAGCTGCCTATTTACGAGGCAAGAATTTTGAAGATTCCTCTTCACACAGAGTTACCCAACCCTTTTCAGCTGGGATAGCAATTTTCGAAGGTAGCCTTAGTGATAATTAGACGAAGCTGTCATGTTTTGATTAATTTTCAATCTCTTGTTATGGATCTTTAGACCGATTGTGAAGTTCATTGTGTACGCCTGGGGATGTCCGTGCACTCAAAATTTTGATTAATACATTTATTTACCGATCAAAAAATGACTTTGCACCAAAATTGATATTTTAGAATTTAGAAAAAGTGTCAATAATGTCTAGGATACTTTTGGGAACATTGAAGGCGACAGTTCTAGCAATGGGCCTTCTAATCCAGCATGTGATATGATTTCTGTTACAGGATGTGCTTCGACCTTGTTTGGTCAACAGTAATTCCTCCATGGAATTATGGGAACTCGGGATTTAGGTTTAGGTATCGCTTGTGGACGCCTTGTAGAGGACAACAATTTGGTTTTGATAGTTTTGGTTACTATGTTGAGGAAATTGGCTATTTCGATGCAGATGAATTTGAAATCGTGGAGTTTCGTTCGTTGCATCGAAATTTGGGTCAAGGTGAAGATTTTTAGGTTTGTAACCCAAGAGTAGATTTTTTTTTTTTTAAATAAATTGTATAGATTTTTTTTTTTTTTAAATAAATTGTTTCCTTATTTTCTTGTGAGCAAAATTGTTTCCTTATATTTCATGTGATTTTTTATGGAAACATATTATTTTCTTATTTTACATTATTTCCATCTTTATGCTATATCATATGCCTATAAATAGTGGTCTCCTCTCTCAGTTTTGTTGAAGCGTGAATTGATGAGTTCATATATTTCTCTGAATATTGTCGATTAATAAAACGGCATGCTTCTACGATTAACTCTCTTTGTTAATTTCTTTACTTTTAAATTTTATTTCTCGTTGCGATCTTTATTATTTCATATCGCATCATTAATTTCATTCACTACAATCCTTCCAGGTCCAACACGTATTTCCATTCATTGTGACAATGAAACTGCAATTAAACTTGTTGAAAATCTATTGTTTCAGGCACACATAAAACACTATGAAACTCACGTCACTTTGCTCGAGAAAAGGTATTAACTACAGAGCAAATTGCTTACATCTTTACCAAAGCACTTTCCACTATTGAATTTGAAGCATTTCATAGCGTTCTAGGTATTCTTGATCGTAAGTTTGACCAAAAGGGTATTGTTAGAAATCAGTGCAAACTGACTTATCATGTCCTAGTTTTTAGGAGAAAAAAGCTAAGTGTACAACATCTTTTGTACACTCTTTTTGACCGTCCATTTAAATGAGTGGACCTCGCGATTAAAATATATCTGTTGTTCACTCTTTTTGACAATCCACTCACACGAGTGGATCCCACGATTATTTTAATTGTGGGGCCCACATGTGTGATATGAGCAAATTGTCAAAGATGGTTTAAAAAATATTGTATACCTAGCATGCTTCTTTTTAGGAACAGCAGAAGAAGTCCCCAACTTATTCTAGTGTTGCAGTTTATTGGGACATAAATAGTGGTCTCCTCTCTCAGTTTTGTTGA